TTCTAAGATGCCAAGTACAATTGTCTTCTCTCATATCATTAACGCACCTCCATATTACTCAACATAATTCAGATGGTTCAGATGATGTAATTGTTTACAGAGTGAAACATATAAACATTTCAGTGAGGTCTGAAAATTCGATGTAATAATGAAATATCGAAAAAATAATTCAGGCATGCAATATACTATTCTCATTCCATCATGAATCACAATTCATACATTTCATACAGGGTGATTTGAAAAATTGGTGACACCTAAGACCGAATTATTCATACACATCCTGTACATTCGAGTGAATTGTTAACCTCCCAAGATAGCTGATACCGTATGAACATGATTTCGTTGAGATATATAGGGTGATCATGAAAATTTTCGATGATGAAAATAACAAAAAATCGTGTTTTTTGAAATCACCCTGTTATTCATGATTAACTCCATCGTCCATGGAAATATTTATGAAATAGAGCCAGATCGCCAACTTTTCAACGGTGTTCCAGAAAAGTGAGTGAGTTTGTCCCTTTTCTGGACAGAATTCAACAGTTTCATGGCATGTTTGGGTGCTGCACTCCAAATATGGGAACATTATTCTAGGACAGGTTGGATCTGTGCCTTATAGATCATAAACAGCTGACTGGAAGTGAAATAGCTCCTGGCCCGAAACAGATAACCACGTTTTTGGAATGCACTCTCAGCAATTGATCTCACGTGATTTTTACAAGAAACGTTATTGCTGATAGTGATACCAACAATCAAATTTATGTCTTCGAAGGTATGGTTTCTCCTGACGAGTTTATGTTGGGCACAGTGAGATCGGCTCTTCTAGAGAAAAGGCATGCTTGTGTTTTGTTTGCATTAGAATCTACCAAATTATTGAATCCTCATCCGAGAATTGTTGCCAACTCCATATTCATGTTGTCAACTCTCCTTCGTCGTTCGTTTCTGATTTGCCTGGCTGGTATTGGAGCCCTGGAAGAGAAGGCGGTATGGAGGGTACTATCATCCGCGAAGCTGTGTACTGGACATGAAGTTGCTTCCAACAAATCGCTGATATGGAGTAGAAATAGTGTCGGTGCAAGAATTGATTCTTGCGGAACACCAGCATGATTATGATCAGAAAGTCAGATGAAACTCCGTCGAGCACTACATGGAGAGACCTGTTTGAGAGAAAACTATCTAGCAGAGAACATAGCTGGGGAGGCGAGCTATAAGATGGAAGGTTGGCGAGGAGTCCGGGGTGCTAGACTCGATCGAATGCCTTGGAGATATCAAGTGCCACGACTAAGGTTTCGCCATATTTTTCAATAGATTGCTGCCATATATGTGAGAAGTAAGCGAGCAGGTCACCAGTTGATCTCTGGTTTCGAAAGCCATATTGCCTATCGTTGATAATACCTGAATGTTCCAGGTATTTCATTAGCTCGATGTTGATAGCTTTTTTCATGATCTTTGAAATGATAGAAAGCAGTGCGATCGGTCTGCAGCCGGCTCTCCTACTTCATAATGAAAGTGAATGAGTACATGGAACATATGGATTGGATAAGAATGCTCACATGGAAATATGGAAAAAGGGCTATGTTAACGATATGAAACCTTGCTCAGCCTACGACCAGGGGGCCTATTCTCGAATATGTCGTATGTCGTATGTCGATAGAAATTGTCGCACAACGTTTGGGTATGGTAATCTCGATTGCTTTCCACTTCAAACTCGCATGAGACAAATTTTGTCGAATAGCATGAGCTAGCAACATCGAATTAATGATTCTCGGATGTGTTCTGTGCCAATGTAATGTGGTTTATTTGTTGTTTATAAGGATGTTGTTATGATGAAAGTTCTGTCAATGTTATATTGGAATAATAATGGCAGTGAGAAGAAGGAATTCTATTGTGCTTCATCTCGAAGGGCAAAACTCAACTTGATGAAAGAAAAATAGAATGAGCGACATTTATCTGGCAAATAACATGCAGAAGACCCATGTCCCTGTACCATAAATGGTTCGAGCACTCACTAGCAGTGCAATGGACTCTTACTGATTCCTCACCTCAATGGTTCCATATATTTTATGTCCGATAAAAATCTTAACGCATTCTTATATACGTCCTATCGTGGCTGTTGATGATTCTCCTGATTTTCAATTTCTAATAATGAGGCTACCATTCTCAAAATGAGAAGTGAAAAAATCAGTCAAATATGCAATCTCGCATTCGACATGGAAATGTTACTGCTTAAGACCACTGTACAATTTGTCTATCGGAAATTTTCACGTTTTATGTTCGACAATGTAGAAATCTCGCATGCGACAAAATATCTCCATTTAAGGAAAGGGTCCCAGGTCAGAAAGCACACCTAATATGTGTAACGCGTCACAAGTCAAGAAAAAGACATTAGGTATCTTCACAAGTAGGGTTGACCCCATGCTATGTTATCTTTTCTATGCTCATGGTAACTCGGAGATTCTGAGGACACCGTAGCACCAAACATAAACTTTATGTTCGGTGACCGTAGTCCGTACCCAAGGATTATTAACTCTCAACAGGATAGTTCATCCGGCGATGACCAATCAGGAGGATTAACGGCATGACGTCACGCCTGTCAGTGATAGTTGCTGTTTTATGAAGAATCTCAACAACAATCCTAACTAACCTCAAATTTTACTTTTACCACAGCCGTCTTATTGAAGACGGCTGTGCTTTTACGAATTTTGAATGAAGAGGATTTATTATCGAAAGATTCATACTTTTATTAAAAGAAAATTATAGGTAATTCATTGATTTCTACAGTAAGTAAGAAAGTGTTTCGAAGGTCGTTCGGAAATGGCTGGAGAAGGAAAGGGGACTCCATTTGATTTCGGTAGGTTTGTATTCCTTATTTAGAATCGATCACTGATGAAAAATATATTTTCCACAGAAACATCATATAATGTGATTGTGGATACTATATATAGAGTGATTGTGATTAAATGGCCATTATTTTTCAGGTTGATTTGATGATTCCACAATAATTGTGAACTGTGAATATAGTTCAATCTGGAGGATTATTTAACTATTATTGGAGCTAATTTTCGAATGGGTATAGCAATGCTGTGAAATATTGTCATATCTACCTCTTCAAGAACCTAATGGTCCTGCTAGACATATAGATATTCAGTCTCAAATTTCGATTTTGGATATTTGGAATCTAGGAGCTATTTTTTCAACAACTTTGTAAAATTATACCTATTGACTATTCAGATTCAAAAGGTGAATTAATATGTAATACTTAGATGAAAATCTATGAGTATTTTACAGAAATTACACTTATCAACATTGAATTAGATGATAGAATTGAATCTAGAGAATTACTTCCCTCAAAATAGAAGCCTAGGTATCATTGGATGGAGATAGTGTGGCAATGGCATTGCTGAACCCTAAATCCATAAGTCTATCAAATGATATGGTCTTGGATATGGCTTGGAGCTTGCAATTGAAATGTTAATACAGTACCCAATAGGTTATAAGTTAAGTTGTGCATACACTCAAAATTGATACATACAGACCTGCAAGAGGCAACCAAAAATTTTCCCCACATTTTCTAATTTCACTTTCTCCTGAAGGGTTCAGATAAATTTGTTACTCACACTAGGTTGATTCATCAGGAAATATGTATAAATCTGTATTCATATTTTTATTTGATCTCATAGGTATACTCAGAGTACATGTTGTTTTTCCTGCATGTTAGTATAGTATAGCTAGGTATGAAAAATTCACTAGGAATTTGTTAGGAATGCAAAAATTAATCAATGATAGGAAACTCCATATTAGGGGATTTGAAGTGAAATGTCTATGGAACAATAGATTCTATTCAGTGTCCTCAACTCTCAAATAACTGTATGGTATAGAAAATCTTCAATAGTAGAAAATGTCTGTTGTTGGAATGATATCCTTCTATATATTTTTCCACATTTATTATTAAATGCCTACCAACCTCTTTTATTTTTTGCATTTTTTTATTTTATATTGACACTTGATAATATGTGAAGTAACACATTTTTCGGATTTTCCTGATTTGCAAAGACTTTGTAAACATCAAGAAGTTATTCATTGAATTTGCTATTAATTATTGGTTCCAGAAATCAGTTGAGCTAGATTTTAGATGGCCATGTCCACTGAATTGTTTCAAATTTTCAAATCCTTCATTCAATACAAGAAATATGGAAACAGAATGATTTCAGTTTTATGTAACAATCTTCTCGAGTTATTAATATTCAGAAAATTATTATACTTTAATTACTTGAGAGCTCATTTCGCAAATCTCTTTCATAATCTTCTGCTGTGAAATGAATAGAACATAATTGTTTGTTTTTGGTAATGAATGTCTCAGTTTTTCCACATATTTGAATCTATTTATTATTTTGTCTTTCGGAAAGACATGGTATAATTTTCACATGAAGAAATTGCACAACAACGTCCACCACCTCTCCCCATGTTCTGAAATTTAAGAAATAATAAGGGTAAGTTGAGTATAATATGTGATGAGATACTAAGATACAGTACCTACTAATTAGATATTCATCTATTCTCTGTTCGACAAGAATTTAAATCTCTCTAGGTAAGTACATATAAGATTATTCCAGCCGCCAAAAGTTTGCGAATTAACTTTGAATTCAAATATTCAAAAATCGCACATGACAGAAAACACAAAACTGAAAACCGTATTTCTGTCACACACGTAACATAAAACACTTTATTTACGCCGTGCACCGATGAGCAATTGTGTGGTGAACGACATGACGTCATATATATGAACCATATATTGACGGATAGGGGATAACCCATCCTGTTGAGAGTTAATAATCCTTGGTCCGTACCTACATTGTTATTTTTCAAAGCGGCAAAATCGATTGAATTCAGGAAAATATCAACGCCCCTCTAGTGGTTATATTCTATTTGAGAGGTTGCGAAAGAATTCCATCAATCCGCCTTCTGAACGAACAGAAATATCGAATAATTTTCATTCTACTCACCTTCTCCAGTTGTTCTTCGAATTGTTGGAAAGCAATGAACTTAGTCCACACTGGTGGAGTGTCTCTCAAATCATTCACATCAACAATTGCCATGGTAACGTTGTTGGGTATGGTTTCATGTCCAGCACCGTCCTATAATAGAATTCTTCTAATTTTGACATGTGATTGGACATTATACAAAATTTACGAAATATTGATGCTTGATGCTTTGAAAATGCATACAACGCATTCATCATATTATCTTACATTAATTTATTGTTACATCAATGTGACATGGAAATATGTGGAGGCTGTCCAATTTTTTTCTTCGAACAATTAACATGTCAACTGTTAGTTCACCAATTTTCAACCGGCAGGAAATCACTGGAAATCATTTTACTTTCGTCATGTTCGTATGAGCAGCTTTTTCAAACGAATGAAATGCCAACTGTAGTCTCACAAATTTCCAACCAGGAGGCAATTATTGAAAAAGCGTCTCGAAAAGATTTGCTTTTCACAAAATATCCAGTCAAATGTTACACACTTGAACTATAATTGGGCAAATCAGATTAAGAAATGTCTCGACTATGCAGAATACACTGAGCAATGGGGAAAAATAAATGTCATCAACCTCAAAAAGAAGAGAGAGTCATACCTTATTACTTACAAAAATAAACTTCTGATATGGCGTTACTGAATCAGTCGTCTCATTTAACGTTTTACAAATATCTGATATTGAATAATAATAATAATAATGCACAAGATTATCTCCAGATTAGCCTGTCATCTCATATCACTCGCAATATTGTCCAGCTCCGTTTATGTAATGAATATATAACCAAATTCAATATCAAAGGATACTCATATAGCATCAACCCAAAAGAATTATGTACAGCCTGCAATCAAAACCGACACGAAACAATTTTTCACATTCTTTTTGAATGCTCAATTTATCTTTCTATCAAGGCGTCTTACCTCATGTATCTCGCCGATGCTGACACTTTCATGAATGCATTCGATAATATGACGTCCTCTATTGCAAATTCGATGTTCTCACATATATGGAATGTATTGAAACTGCGATCTTTCATACTAAATGAGTAATGATTTTATATAATGTGGGCAAAGTGACTTTTTATTTTCTCTTATTATTATCATTATTATATACATATACCTATATGAAACCAGTGTATATTGGGGGTAGCAGCAGTGTAAAAGGAATACTCTTTAAAGTTCATCCAAGCTTTCGGAAAGGTTTATTTCCATCATCAGGAATAATCTTTGGTGAGGTTGGTTACAACGTTGTTAAAAGTATAGAATTGTGAAATAAATGATGACAATCATACTGTGCAAAATTGCTTACATGGACACATAGGAGACTGACATTTGTATAATTACACTTAACAGTTACTTATTTATTGTAAATTTGGAATTTTAGAATTTGTTAAAAAAAGGAGGTATAAGTAGCAAGTCACATTTCATATTCAAAGAGGTTGCCACGCGACTTTTGTTTGGTTGCGCGACTTCTTCAAACACGTCGCCGCAACGTTGAATTGCTACTTGGGTACCTCCCCTAATAACACACTTAGTTCCCATGGATATCCTTGGGACGTTTTGTCGGGACATTCAGGACGTCCATAGGACGTTCGAATTTGGTACCGTGGACGTCCATTGGACGTCTGTGGGACGCACAAATGTCCCTGGGACAAATATCGAATATCTAAATCCTATACTATTCCTCATCCAAGCACTACAGAGGACATCCTTAGGGCATCCATAGGACAACCTATCAGCAACGCTGAGGGATATAAATTGGATGTCCATAGGATGTCCCAGGGACGTACGAGGACATCCAGTTGAGTTGATGGTCCGTAAAAGGTCCTCAAAAAGTTTTCCAAAGATGTCCAATGGACTTTCGTGAAGGACATTGACGAGGAGTACTTATAGCCTACGAGCAATCATTCGTCGGCGAGGTGTAAGTTAACGTCCTGGCAGGGACAACATATTGAAAGTACCGACTGGGACGTCCATAGGACGTTATTTCTAGGACATTGGAAGAGTACAGTTCATGTACTAATTGGGACATCCGACGGATATCCCTAAGGAACATTTCGATTGTTATACGATCCTGGAAATATTAAGGGCGTCTGTGCAGAGATATTTGAAGGAATGTACCATCAGGGACATTTCATGGTTGTCTAGAAGGGACATTACATAAGATCTGGAGTCATGCCAGAATATGTACTACTCGGGACATCCGATGGATGTCCCTAAAGGAACGTTTAAAATCATATCCCATCAGGGACATGCCAAGGACGTCCTTGCATGAACATTCCACAATATGTACCACGTGGGACGTCTGAGGGATTCTATTTCTAGGACATTTGAAATAATGTACCAGCTGGGACATTCCGTGGACGTCCTTGCTCGGACATTGCATGAGATGTACGGGATGGGACGTCCCAAGGACACTTATTTTCGGTTCGGGACATTTGGACGTGAATTGTACTGAATAGGGACGTCCCTACTCCCTAGGACGTTGTGTGCTATAAGGGTCCATTACTCCCCCTCCCCTTGTATACGCGCCTGAAACTGTGCCAGTATTCAGTAAGAAGGTGAACATGAAAATTTGTGATATGGAACATGTTGCTACATATCTACAAGGCCCATCATTAGGAAACCTACTTACAACTGGAAATTATCTAGATACCAAGGCTAATACCTACTTGCTGATACTGAAAATATCGATGTGTTATGCATATATTATTGTATAGCGCAAAACATCAATGTTTCAATTATAGATAGATGAACAGTTTCCTATTAAAAAAAACATAACTCTGGGTTATGTCGGAATAATAACAGCTCATATCGAGAATCTAACTAAATGAAAAAATATATAAGAGACAGTTTTTTCTAGGGGGTCTGTGAATGCAATATTATCAATTTCGCCCTCTATCTCAAAAACGAAGCAGGCTATAAATTTTGTTTGAACTATTGCTAGTTTCACAAAGATGGACCCAATGTTCGCCAAAACCTCAAATCTCTATCTTCAAATATGAGATATCCTGTAAAGACATCGAAAATGGGACAGCCTGTATAAGTGTACATACATCTTCAAGGTAAAATACGAATTTATTCCTTATGCAACAATCACCATCTAGATATTAGATTTACAATGATTCCTGAAACTCAAAGAATTTGATAAATTTCTGATAACATAACTTACCCTGGCTTGAATATTGAAAAGATAAAATGATGTTTCGTTGTATTTCAACTCTTTTCCCAGATACATCTGGACATTGGCCGTTTTCAATTGATCATCAGGTTTTTCTCGGAATTCGAACAGGAATATGCTGCCTTCTTCTCCCTGATAAGAATAATAATATTAAACCGAATATACAGGGTGAGTCAACATTGTGTTCTCCTTCGATATTGACCAAACCGTCAGATATTTATAAAAAAAATACGTTCATATCTAGAGGGTGTTCGAATTCCAAAATGCCGATATCTAGATGATTGTGGTTTCTTTTAAAGAAGCAGCCTATATATTATTGCATTTTTATGATCTCTCTGCACGATCGATTTATAAGCCGACTATTGTGAAGTCCGTATAATATCACTATATTAATAATTATCATAGAGGAGTTCGGCATTCGATTACGTGTCTTATTATGTAACAATAACAATATGGCCACTTAGTTGAGTGAATCTTTCTCGTCGTTTGTTACGACGTCTCTGACGGTGACCACATATCCTCGGGAACCATTCAAACTTGATTCAGCAACATGCTCTAACAAACACATTGACTACACAAATCACAAACATAGCGACAAATGGAGCAGGAACACTTTCAATATCACCTATAGTCACCTTCCATCGATGGAGACACTTATGATTCCTAGAGTCACTGGATGGTATTAGTTTGATAAGAGTTCGGACACAGATGAACTTTTGTCCTTTTCTATTTTCTATAATACAATGGTTTAAGTGAATAAAAGAATAAGACATATATTCTGCTCTTTGTCTTTTCAATTTCCCTAGTAGCGCCTGATTGTCAGATACGATTTTTTAGGTTAGAATTTCTGTCAAATCAATCATAGCCGTAGATGGACAATGGATTTAGGGTACAAACACCCACTTCAATTCATATTATAGTGATACACTTCTAGCAGAACGACTGTTATATAAATGGAAAGAATGCATGTAACAACATTTTGATATTAGAAAATATACACATTTGGATAAACTTACAGCTATAATTCCTTATTGTATGTGAAACTGTACTCCAGGGTGATAAGTATAAAAATGAAGTCATCATTATTAAATTGAAGGAAGGTATTTTCAGGAATATACAGAAAGTAACATAAGTACGTTCAAGTGAAGTATTCCTGAGACAATTTTAAGAAACAAAGTCTATAGAAGCTTGTGTCCGGAAATGCTTTATTTATACAGATACAGGTTGTTGAAATACAGAGAACAAATCATGGTTCGATAAACATTCAAAAGTAGTTCATTGAATTAGAGACCTACCAAATACTTGGTTTTGTGAAGTTCTCAGCAACTTCACTTGCCGCCCTAGGAGCTATGTAACATGGATCGATATAGAAAATATCTCCAAACCGATAACCTCCAGCGTAATTGAGGCCCTTATGATAATTCCCTTGATACATAAATACCTATTCACTTTTCACTGTGGAGTTTTGAATTTGGTCGGCACCAAAAACGCCATATTCAATAATATTTCACGTTGTAGTTTACTTGCTTTTCTTAGTTTCGTTTTCAAATCTTCAATTTCATTATGTAATTTTGCGATCATTCCCTCTTTTTCCATGATTATTTTGTTCTGAATTTTGTGTGATGATAATAATGTGATTTTGTTCTTGAAATCGTCTGCTTTGTAAATTGATGGAACAGCAGATTCTCTCACAACAGATTTTGAAATCTTCTGTTTGAAAATGGGCCTAAAATATAGTTTAATTTTGATCAGATAATGTTACAAGAAGTGAATTTTAATGTGTACCTCACGAATTGTGCTCTTCTTCAAATTGATTTTCCACCCAGGCCGTTTCATATCTTCCTTCCATAAGCGAATGGTTGATATTTGTTTTGGAAAATTGAATAAATAATATCCATTTTTTCAGAATTGGCACAATTCATTACACAGCAAGTGATTTCCATAACTGCTTTCTCCTCGAAAGTATAATTATGAAATTTTATTTCGATTCTGACGTTTATAAAATTTATTGTCAAATTCGAACCATTTTGAATGAAAAAGCGCGGGACGACTATGGTGCTCTTGTCACAATGCAAGGTGTGTAACTTATTAAATCTAAACATTGAAAAACCCATAGTGGAAGGATAAGATGGTGTGCCTACGCGCATATTATGTGACGTCATCTGGGATACCAATATCAGCTGCTAGTCACAGACAGATACCGTTGCCATGGGCGTGCGCAATGAATTCAACCATGTTCATTGAATTTTCTATAAGTTTCTCGATCTGTTTAGAAATAATTCAATTTACATAAACAGGTTAACTATTCCTTCGATTTTACTATTTCATTGATTCTGGAAATTGTGATCTTGAGGTAATTCGCAATCGCAAATAGCAAATACATACGAATTATCATGCATTGCCAATCCCATCTGAATGATCCACTACTGTGTCGATTCTGACAGATTAAAATTCAGCAGTTAACGACGTTGACGTTGCTTCTGCTCCGACATCGACAACAGGAGTATCAATTTTTGCCGTTTTGTTATTCAAATCTTTGCTGCAATTTATATTTTGTGAGAAAGTAAGAGTTTCGAATTCATTTTCAATCATTTCTGACTTGATATTTGGAAGGTGTTCTGTAGGAATGCCATCTTGTTTCGAATATTTGTGAATTTTTGGAGGTGTGTAATTCAAGAACCGTACTTTCGCACTTTTTTGGGAACATTTTGCATAGAAATGTTTTGAAGAAATACGTGCTGTAATATGAATGTGATGATAATATGATAGGTGAATACTTTGGAATGGGAATATGAGGAAAAAGAGGTAGGTACCATAATTTGAGTTTATATTCTGTCGGCAGCAAGCTCCCATCGTTTCATTAGGTCTCCATTCTTGGAAAAGCAGAAAAATTCAATATCTGTGCCTTTTGTATGTTAGTTGGAATTTCCATAAACAGAAACGAAACAAGTAAGCATTTCGAAATTATTCTATTCAATTTTAGTACTAATATAATATCTGAAGTTCGAGACATCAATCACAAAAACAAATAATAACAATGACAGTTATATCCCAGCTGACGTCATGCGCAGAACAAGACGAGTTTGAGCTTTTTGTCGAGCACACCATCTTCTCCTTCCACTATGGAAAAACCCTAACCGTTGTCATTTCTGTGTCCGAACTCTTATCAAAGTAATACCATCCAGTGACTCTAATGATTCCTAGACTCAGCTCTCCAGAAACTCTACCTATTTTTTCCACAGTTCACAGATTGAGGGAAACGATGGAAAGAGCACTGCAGATCTCAGCAGCTTCAGAGTTAACCCATTGCATTGACTCCCAATGGGAAATCCTAGGGTAAGCCGTGGACAATGAATTCAGTATATAAGCTCTGAAAACCTAGTAGAACCCAAATCGCACTGTCTGAGTGTCTACAGCTTTCCGTATTTTTTATTATAATCGAATTGATGGAAGTATATTCACGCCGTCTCCGTAACCTATTACTGGGTCGACAGACATTCGATCGACTAGGTCGTAGCCTGGAGACTACGAACTGCTTCTTTGCGGCGCTAGCACGTTGGCTACCGCCATGAGAAGGAAAAATCTTGTCCCTATGTGCCAATTGTTTTTTTGACGGGAATTCACATTGTTTCATATGTAGAACACAGCAATATTTCCAAAATTATTATATTTGTTATTGCTTTCCGTATTTTTGCAAAAAACAATGTGACACAGCATTGGTACCTCATAGCACAGTACAAATCATCAAGATACGAAAGCGTAGACGGGTCACGTTACGTTTTTGCAAAATCGTTAGTTGCAACTGTCTAAAAATACAGTTGTATCTCTCTGAATAGACTGTCTCAACTTTATATAAAAATGATTGTCTTATCTGTCTGAATAAACAGTTGTTACTGTATAAATAGACAGTTGCAACTGTCTCAGATATCGTAATTCGTACTGTCCTGTCCTACCTACAACAGTACAACGTAGGGAAAACAAAAAACAACGTGCTAATAACCAAGTAACTAATACGAGTTTTGTGTATTGCGTGTATAATGATGGTGGTAGTTTTTCTATAGTAGAATGAATGATGGTTCAATTAGATATTATTCCTGTTTGGGTTTCCAACAAACTGAATTTTGGCCAGTTTGGCTCTCAACCATGATTAGTTTGAGCACTCTCGAACGAAAATCACACAAATTGGGATTGTTCAGAAGAAAGAATTTCACGGACATTCTAGTAAACAATTCATTACAAATAATTCAAAAACTCATGGTCAATTACATGGATACCGATGGATACACCTATAAATGCATTCAAATTGATTTAGTAGTTACACAAGAGATGGTTCGTCTTCTGCTCCAAATTATTGATCCGGTTGGTGTAGATTTTCGAACTAGAAGACGGCTGAGAAGAAGGCAATACAAGAAAAAAGGTCCAAACTCTTTATGGCACATGGATTGTTATGATAATCTTGAACCATATGGAATATGCACCAGTAGATGCATCGACGGATTCTTCAGAAAAATAATCTGACCAATCCAAGTGCAAAACTTGGAAAACTGAATGAATATGGAAGCACGAACACATACTATTCTACAATAATACGATTTCGTTCGTTTGCAACGTATATCGATGCTTCTATCACCCGTGATTCCAATAAAATGGTTATCCAAATGCTTTTTTTGGCAACAGTTTTTCCATAACTGATTTCAGCTATACTAAACCCGATACAACTTGGCAACCATGCATTTCCTCACCACGGGATTTTGTTTTCTGTTTACCTGTTACCTTGACAACCGTTGCCATAGCAACAAATTTTTCATAACTGATTTCAGCTGAACGAAACTTGATCCTTCCGGGGTAGATGGCAATACGGAAGACAAGGCCATCGACAAAATGTTCCATTGTATTCTTGAAATTGGCGCCCTTTGCCAGTAAGCTGCTTCAATCAATCAATTTTGCATTGATCAATATTTCTGGACATAACCTCAAATTGACATTCCAATTGAAACGTAGGACACGAAATTTAGGTGGGCTATCTCTCCCTGGAAATCGGGAGGGTTAGCCATTATTTTTCCGGGAGTGATAGCCATACTTCCATACTGGATGAATATAAATATTTCAATTGTGTACCTATCAAATATTTTCAACAGCAAGTAGAGGAGTGTGAATGAATGTGGAAGTGAAGACTTCGATGAAAATTTGTGCATAGGATGTGGAGAAGATCATGAGCAATCTAAAAGAATAGATGACTGGATAAAATGTGTGAGTTGCTTGCGGTGGTTGCATGAAAACTGTAATTCCTATGGCGACTTCTGCCAGACGTGTGGAAAACTTGATAATAAGTCGAAAAAGAAGAATTGTCCAAGAAGAATTAATATCATCTGTTTATTTGTCTCAGATACCATATTATTATGGGCCATCACTCCCGGATGACTCGAGAGAGATGACCATACCACGCATTTTCAAGAACCGTTTATTACGTTAATATATTTTTATCATTCCCAATTTTATTGACGCCACATTGTATTAGTGCACTTTTGTTTTCAATAGAGCAATAAATATCTTTCAAAAATAAAATCTTATGGTGTTTTCCGAAACGAAATGAAAACTATGACCATCTACCCCGGAATTACCCTAGACCATATTAACTGGCTTCCTGATACTGGTGCCCATATTATGGTTATCGGTCGGAAAGATTTGAAAAAACTAGGTTCTCTAGCGATCGAGTCCCTGAAGAAGGATATTGCTGGTGTTTATACTACCCACAACATTTGGTTTATGAAAGCTACTTCCCCACACAAGATACTCGTCATGGGTACTGGTAGATTCTATGAATAATCTTCAAAAAGGAACATATTCACACTCCAAAAAATCTATTATTTCAATTTGAAATGATCATCTATGCTGTCAATGTGCTCTATGTAAGTGGTTACATAAATGAAGTCACGAATAAAAAATACATAAAACGAAACGTGCGTTGAAAGATGAAAATCTATTATTTTCAGAATTTTTTCTTCAAGCCGCTGATACACCAAATAATAAATGTGTTCCTTTTATTCGCATCATTTGCACCCATTTCGATATAACTCTTATGAACAGCAAAATGTAAATTGAAGCATTTTGCTCGTACTTACCGTAGTACCATCAGGTAAAACATCGAATGTCATTTTGTTCAACCATCCATCACTATCAGTAACGACACAGGAACATGTAGTGTTCTCAAGAGTATACATTGTATTTTCCTGAAAGTTCAATAAACACTCGGCAAAAATGGAAACACATTTTTTTATATGTAATATCAAAAGTATGATTTCGTGAATGAAATTGCTTATCAAAACTTTCGAGCAATAGGCGAGAAGTTTTGGGAACAATGCCATGAGCGAAATTATAGCAACAAATTGGAGTAAAAAGTGGTTCAATTTATGAAGTGACATCACTATGCCATTATTGTCGTGGTGTTGCCATGGTTACTTTGAAAACGCACATCTTTAAAAAACCATATTTTAAAAACTATATTGAATATACAAATTTTTGTAAGTTCAAAAACTTTTCGACTATTTTTCAACATTGAATCCGCTACCTGCATTTTCTGAATTTCCTTTTTTCTTCTATACGACTTTTCTGTTACGGAAATTACTAAAGAATCACTAAGTTCGCAATTTCTCTCAAATCAAATCGCAGAATCAGACTGACATATTTCGATTTTTTTATGTTCTGGTTCCCACGAAAAAAGATATCCTGTAATGTCAAAAGTTCGTCCCCACTAAAACATTTCGCCGGATGATATTCTCATAGAAACATATATAGGTACCTCACTATATTATCAAGGTCAGAACTGGTCATATCATAAAAATTTGTTTTTTGGATACCGTAATCTTTTTGGGGAAATTTCACACTACTATACTCCTAGCAAAATGAATTAACAGATAATCACCGAGTTCAGTTTTCCCTATAGTATCGACCCATTGTGAATAATATTGAATTCTGACCTGAACCATGGAAGAGTCTCAGTCTTCTTCAAATTTTTTCCTGCAATATAAGGATTGAGTTTTTGGTAATTTTGTGCCAGGGGATTACGAAAAAATAAACAGATTGTTTATGGAATCGCTAATATAGGAGTATTAAGAAAAGGTGGGCATTTGGCAACATCGCAGTCGAATCATGTTGCCAATCTTACCCCTTAAATGTAACGATTCGGCAAACAATCTGTATGAAAGTATAAACAACACACCTGCACCAAATTTTTGATACAATGCGTCATTGTGTTTTCGAAATATCATGATATTTCGATTTCAATAATTTTGATGGAAATTTCGTTCAGATAATATACAGGGTTTCATTCCGAAAATTTAGCCACTCTTATATAAAAATTGAACTGCAGTGAAAACAATCATCATTATTGATGGAACATGAATCATGGATTTTCTGAGGCGCTTTTATTATATCATAAGCCTCGGTAATGAACATCCTACCATGCGCATCATAATGATTATGACTTAGATTCCTATATAGTCAAGTATGTTGTTTATATTGAACTATCGAGCTGTTCGATCAATTGCATCAGTTCCAGCAAGAAAGTAGGTACCATGAAATTTTACTTCACAATAATTGATATTAGTACCGTTTCAATTTCCAAAGCAAAGGGGAATGAACATTACATTAAATTGAAACTTGTATGGCTCTTTCCCCTCGATATCTGAATCAACCTATTCATTCCCAAATTTGTAATCACTGAAAATCAGAAGTTATCAAGAGGGGCTATAGTTTTCAAATGTATGTAGTACAGTGTACAGTGTATGTATCTAATTATGAAGGAAGACAAGCTTGGAAAATTGCTTCATCAGGTGAAGTCTTTCAATCTTACAATGTTGCATCCTGATCTATACTTACATCGAACCGACATTGTGGACAGCTCATTGTGGGAGGTTCATCGTCGATGTTGTTGATTGTTAACTTCAATACAAATGATGGAACTTTATCACCATTCAGACCATCTACGAATAGTGTCATTACGTAATTATTCGGTTGAGTTTCATAATCGAAGGACTGATCCGAATATAGAATTTTATTTGTCTTATTATCGCTTTCATCCATCAGAGTGTATCTGAATGAATAATCAACGAATTGTTGAAATGTCACCTCCTTAACTGAAATAAGAAATGATACACTTATTATAGCGAACGATATATTCGAAATCGTATTCTAGTCAATATGGTATTCGAGGGGTTTCCAGCCTTTTAGCGATTGTGATCTACCACAAAACATTCAGGTGATGAACGATCTCCAAATATTACCAGCGGTTATGAGTAGTCTATTCATGATAAAATGAAACACATCCATGAAAATTACCTGATATGAGAATATTTCCACAAAATAAACATACAATTGAACTATTAGGTGAATAAAGTTGAATAACTTATGAAATGACAATGTTATTTGTGTAGTGATCATTATTAATTTTTTTGCGATCGATTTCAAAAGCTCTTGCGACCGACTGTTTGAACACCGCTGTAGTATTAAATATATTCTGAAGTAAAATCGACAAGGTAGTATATTCATTTTCACAGATTTTTTGGGATTTTTCTTTTGTCGTTTCTTTAAAATGATAGTTATTTATACACCAAAGTAGCTATAGCCATGACATCTTATGACAAGTCGTTATTGATAAATATATACCTGCTACATAATTTATTCGAGTGCCATTCCTGCGAATCTTGGTTCAGAACAGTTAGTTCGGCATATTTGCCGTTTTGTTGTCATGTTTCTATGATGAAATCTTGGAAAATTAATTACGAGGGTTCAAGGTATAAGAAACGACCTTACCCTCTGAAATTTTGAGTTAGATAAGTGGAAAATGGCTCAAAAAATATGTAGCAATATACTTTGTATATCTGGAAACCAGATAAACATAGTACCTGCCGATGGAACCTTACAACTTTCATATTAAAAGTTTCTTCCACCTCGTATGGTTAAATTGGCAGGAAGCAACTTCAAAAAGTTCATAACGAGCTTGTGAATCAACCTCGAAGTTCATGTCCGATGGCTGTTGTTTGATAGCTGATAGATTCAGCATCTCAAAATATCAACATTGAACTGAACATGTCGTGAAGAGGTTCGGTGGTTGAGTAAAAGTTGCACAAACAAAAAAATAATCAGAATAACAGACAATGAATCTGGTATTTCAAATATTTTCCTCATATAATGACTCACCGTTGACGAATCTAATGAGTGGGGTTCTTTCAGTGAAATCGTGATTATTCTCATCCATTGTCATGATGGTTACAGTGCCATCTTTGGTTATGGTAACATCACCATTTACTTGCTCAACTGAAATACCTTGGCCCACCGATGGCACTGGAAACAAAACATAAACAGCATTTCAATCTCAGAAATAATAAATTCATCCAAAATCTCTCATGAGCTGATTACTCAAACATCAATGAAAATCATTGTTCATATCAATATGGACCTGAAGATGTTTCCTTAGGAAGTTGAAGTCCCTTGGGATACGCAATCAATGATAGTTATTTCATTGAAGAAGTAAAAATTCTAATAGGGTTTGTTTGAGACATGTATCAGCCATTCAAATGACCATCATCAGTCGAGGGAGTACAACAAAGTGCATCTACAATAGAAAACCATACTCAATTTTACATCTTGCCTAGAAGAAAATGGAGAAAAAATTACAGAAATTATGAAAACCAACCAGAATTAGTTGAAAATATCAGAAAAACGAAAGGGGAAGATGGTGGTTTCTGTTACAATATGAGTATTACAATGTTATCATGAGGAATTAGTGCTAGAGAAGTTAGAAGCAAATTATGAAGACAAATTGGCGAACCAAAGGTGAGAAACCTTACTCACGTGGAAAAATTCAATACATCGTGAGGACGAAAATGGAAACTTTCGAGATGAAAAAACCATAGCGAATATGATCAAAACCAGCAGATTATCTTTTCTCCAATCTTTTTTTTGAATTAACTCGGCCGTCACTTGATGGAAATCCATGGCAAATGTAAAAACTTCACAAACAATAAGATATCCACAAAATTCCACAGAAGGTGATATACTGGTACAATGAACTAAACCAACGTTGGCTTGCTTAACTTTCATACACCTGACGAAGCTACTTTGTTAGCGAAACATGTTGTGTGTCTAAGAATTTTGTGAAGTTTTTACATCTTTTCTCCTGATGACGATTGATACAAATTTAATGGTATATCAGCTTTCCGCCTTTTCCTTCAAAATCAATGACAATTTCAAGTTAGTATCACACTATATGGTACAAAAATTTACTAATTCTGAAGTTTCCTTTTCGTTTTCACGATGTTTAAAATTTTTCATTCTGAGTACAATCTTCTCACCTTTGGTTCGCCATTTTGTCTTCATAATTTGTGAATTCGGATAAAGTTTGCTTTTCTTTTTCCATTTATCAATTCTTGATGATTTAACATTGTAACAAAAACCATCATTGAGCTCTTTTGTATCTTTGATATTGTCAACTAATCTACTTCGGTTTTTAAAATTTTTGTGTCTATCTCTTCATTTTCTTCTTTGCGAGATGTGGAATTAATTATGGTTTTCTATTGTAGATGCACTTTGCTGTACTCCTTCATCTGATAATGGTCATTTCAGTGGTCGAAAAATGTCTCAAACACACCCAATTGGAGCAGGATTGACTGCATCAGTTTACCGTTAAACCTGTGGAGACGACTTCGACTTTCTCTTTCGTAATCATCCCACTCCAACTAGAGTATGGACTACTTCAGAAAATTCTAGTTATTTATTCATCAAGGGCACAAAATATGCTTTTATGGACCCTAAGTGTTAACAAGAGCTATTAACACACGTAGGTAATCTTGCACCCCTAGAAACGGACCTGGTTTGCCGCCTCTGATCTTGTCCACAAATCAATGAAAAAATCTGACAACAAAGTTGTTGCGGCATCTCGGGATATTTCGTTTTTGTCCATCAAACAATGTCAAAGATTTTTAATTAAAAACGTGTAAACTATATTTTTTCTCCTAGATGCTGGAGCTCGCTATAGAAGAATAATTTTGGACCCACTTTTTCCATTTGTCGTGGGAAACAATTGATGAGAGATTCCGGTATAGTTAGAAAACACCATTTATGGAAAGATGATGTGAGAAATATTCGATTTGATTTCGTCAGAAAGGAAATAATTCAGGAGTTTGAAAATATGTTGTGAATTATTTATAATCAACAGAATAGTTTTGAGCAAAGACGAAAGTCAAAAGTGCATTGCACAAAAGACAAAAGTCGCTCGAAATTGTAGAACTCCGCAGATGCCGATACTGGCACAGCCTTTGTGTCCTTGGCAAAATGAACAAACATTGTTCTTTGCGTTTGAGAACTACTTCTTGAACCTACTAAATTAAATTGATAATCAAATTAGCTTTCAGGCTTCTTCGCCTTACTGATGAGACCCGGAAGCGATTTTACTAAATATACTGTCCGCTAGCACATACCACGCCCACCGTTATATCTCATCTTCAAAGTACTTTTCTTAGGCAAAACTCAGAGACTATTTATCCTCAACGAACTAACCTATCCATGATTGCAATATTTTTGAGGAAGGAAAACCGAATGGAGTGTAGGTAGAAACACATTGATTATAATAATATATTTCAAAAGTTGAGTTCTTCAACAAAATTGAATAAAATGAGACTGTTTATCCTAAACGCACTAACCTATTTGACTTCAAATATTTTATGAAGAAGGAAAACCAGGATGAAGTAAAAAAACATTGGTGAAAAAAAAGGTGCAAAAAAAAGTTCAAGTTCACAGCGTTTCGAATAATGGACCTTCAGACTGTGAAAGTCGACAGCGCTAACCAGAGCATTTGGGTATATGAATTCACTGCGTACAAGAGATTGACAACGAGAGAGCTTCAGTCGAATTCGTGTCAAAATCATAAAAAGTGTATTCTTGCGTTGGAGCACAGTATATTTAGTGCGATGTGCTGACTGCGAGTATATCGGTAATGTTTGGAGATATGACGTATTATGGTGGGCGTGGTTTGTGCTGGCGTGCAGTATATTTAGTAAAATCGCGATCCGGAAGGTCGAAAGCTCGCACATTGCACCCTAAAATATCGTTGGGTTAAGGTGAAACCCGAATCCCAGTTTACTGCTTCGGATTCATTTGACAAAAGCAGAAGAACTTTTGGAACTTCGCAAATCTCCACGAATTTTGTGGCGCGTATGTTCTTTTTGTTCAAAAGCAAAAGTCTGAGAATCCAAAGAAACAAATGTATTCTTTGGTTCGAACCTGTTAAGTTTGTGGCTTGTTTCAACTTCGGTTCGTCTTCTTCAGTCAGGGAAAGTACCCTGAGACGAGTTGGAATTTTTCTCTTTCAGAATTTGATCTACAGAATAGTTTTGAGCAAAGACAAAAGTCAAAAGTGCATAGCACAAAAGACAAAAATTGCTCGGAATTGTAGAACTCTACAGATGCCGACGCTGGCACAGCCTTTGTGTCTTTGGCAAAATGAACAAACATTGTTCTTTGTGTTTCATTTTTAGAATTCCACGATGAGTTTGTGTATGGCATGCGGTTCAGGGGCTATTTACAATTTATACAGTACTGTTTTTATTACCATTTCCAATATTTCCATATCATCATGATTAGTCAATACTTTTTTGTCTATAATAAAGAAATACCCATATAATCATCCAATTATATTTACCTATTATCTGTAGCAGTAGTGTTAGTAGTAATACGATTGGAGGACGATCCTTATCTGCAAATAAAAAAACAATAATAATGATAATATTTGCGTTTCATTCATCTGATTTTGCCACCGCGGGATCACTTTATTGTGTCGTTTTATTTGCGACTTTTCCGATTCTGGTTGCTACTTTTCATTCCGTCTCACTACAAGAAATGACGTGGAATGATGTTGACTGTTCAGGAAATCAAATCAGATTGATGAAAAAAGAAAATTTTTGAGAGCCAAATACACTTAGAAGACATTCTCATCGTAAGGTGAGATAAATAGTTATTTATTATACAAGGGAAAAAAGTAGTAGATTTTAACTCCAGGTTGTGTTGTGTCAAAAAACCGTGAGCTAAAATCTAATATTTTTCCCGTGTATAATGAACTTTTTTTTTCTGTGACAGGAGAAAGGACGAATCAATATTGAGAAGATATTGCATTATTTTGAAATCTGAAAATTATCGACGTGAAATTTTAAGTTTTTAACAGTAGGGACACCTGCGTTGTATAGACATCTTTATCAATCTTTTGAAGTAATCAAATATCTGATGTCACTTCTGTCAGTCTAATTCTGTGATTTTATTTCAAAAAATTTCGAATTTAGTGGTTGTTTAGTAATATATACGTAACCGCGAAGTCGAATGGAAGATAAAAGGACTTGCAGTTCTTTCTCGGAGACGGTATTATTGGCTCATTTTTCGGAACTATATATAGCACAAAAAAAGCTATCAACGGCAAAAAAGTGATTTTATGAAAAGTGACATTTTATAACCTGCCAACAGATATGAAATGCCAAACTTTTTTCCCGTCACAGAAAAAATGAATTATATCGATCTCAGAGGAGTATCTCCAATCACCACGATCACTGCTCCAAATATTAGTTGACTTATTTTCTTGATTTCCAACTCTAATATTATGATTCTGAAATTATTCGGAAGCTAAATATGCAAATACAACCTGTTTTTTTACATATGATAGTATATTACGTGATGAATGTTGTAAGAAGCATATTACGCACGAATTGAAAAATTACGCGTAATTCCAAGTGTTGCTAATCCCATTCACGCGTAAAGGAATATTATACAGACTATATACGCCACTGGTGAGTCACATTCAAATAACAAGGATTTCTGAAATAAGAAACCCGATTTCATTCAATTGGCTGATTCTATTATGCATGTTATGGATAACATTTCGTAAACTTTAACAATTTTGACACCCTCTGTCTCTTAACAAGCGAAGCGAGAGTGAGAAAAATATTTTATATTTTTCAGATCAAAACGATGGAAAGAATGTTTCGTCACAAAATTCAATGTTATTTCAACTACCCTATACCTATCTAGATAACACAAAAAAAAATTCAGGGGTCATTCTGTGATGAAAATTGAGGTTTTTGAAGAAACTTGTAGACATAACAAAGTTGGTAAATAGATTGGGCTCTTCAGCCATGCTTTTTCGGAAGGAACAATTTCATAAGAAAAGTTGTACCTAAAAATCGGGGTTAACTACTTCAACCCCTTCTAAGCTTACTTTAGGATTGAAAAAATTTCAAAATTTAGAGTTTCATTGACAAATGATATCAACCAAATTAAATTGTATTTATCTAAAAATACAGGAAAAATGAAAAAATAATCTTTTTTTTCGGAAGGAGGTGTTTAAAAAAACTTATACCGAAAACCCCCCTTGATTCTCATAACCTAATCACTTTTGATTTGTTTCGGTGTTATTCAGATCCGTGTATGTAGACACTCATTACCACTCATCATAATGAAGCCAAATAATTGAAGGATCTACAAAAAGGTATGATACAAGCGAAGACACTCCAGGGAATCCACAACCAGAAAGAATCTACCGAATTCATTAACCTGAGTTCAAGATCCGAATACTATCTCGACTCCTATCAGGACAATGTTGAGAGGACATCTGAAGACACTCCAGGTAGTAGATGAAGCAGACTGCAAGGGCCTCTGTCTAGGAGCATATGAAGTCAAAGAAAGATATCCTCAACTTTCTGAGGATAAATGATGGATTAAAAGAAGAACTACATAATTGATAAGCCTTATAGGACGCATAGCAAGGAGAGGGGACACAATAGATCACATGAGGTCACAGTGTACACACCACCCTTATCCACACATACATACATACATATAACCACACTAACCTCACATCACCAATCGATTTCTCGATTCATACATAATTTTTTTGTATATTTATATAGATAGGTGCAGCTAAGGAATGTACCTATTCCACATCATGAACTTCAAGCCATTCATTTTGGTTTTTTGATCCAATTATTATTTATCAACCTTGATTATTTATATCAGCTCCCTTTCATTATATGTGTAAAAAGCTCATTTTCATTGAAAATACTCACTTTTTTTCATGTTGACTTATATCAAACATATAGGTATTTCACAAACTGTTATATAGGCACTGTAATGTCAAATATATTATTTCAAATTATAATCACTCATATATTCAACGAATAACGATAGGTACAACTATGAGAAATGCGATATTTTTATACGAATAAGTGATGATCTACGCTTGATTAGATAAAATAGTCTATCAATCGAATTATCATTTTCTGATAACGTGGAAATATTGATGTGTTCATTGCATTTTCTATAGCACCATCTGTAAAAGGAATTAAATATTTTTGATAGTGATCCTTTTGTCCATTGCGATCTGATTAAACAAATAATATATTATACATCCGAAACTTTTTGTTGGAATTTTGAATGTCAATACGACGATTATATGAGCCCTATTGTCAATATGAGATTCAGGCACGAAAATTAGGATTTTGTTAGACCTGAGGTATTATTGATTTTTCAGGTATCCAGGTTGCTTCATTATAGTAATTAGAACTATTTCAGTACTCCGAATATGAATATTCGACCCAAATTACCTAGGTAAAATGCGTCTCTTGTCTGTTACAGGGTGTTTGATCATTCATCAAATTCAAAAACTATGATGTTATTATTTTCTTTTCCAATATGGATTGAAGTTTCATTCGTGTAATGAATGCAAGTCAATGAACCAACACATCAGCATAATTTTATACACATTGAAATCCACATAATTGTGCATAGTTTCATGTTTGAAAGTATTGGAGAATCGATTTTGATAAAATGGCAATTCCGCCAGTGGCGTAGAATTTAGGAAGGATCAACCAGTCACTTTCCCCTGTCCTACAACCCTGGTAGTAGTTGATTTCACATGATTTAGTATGGTGTATAGTATCTACACTTGTCACCAAATATAACAATGATAATACGTTCAATTAGTATAAAAGAACTAGGCACAAATATTGTTCAAATTCGACCGACTGGAAAGGTCTTCATATGTTTTTTTTCAGCGTTTCCAAGGAAGACGATGTGTTTCTCCTCAGCAGATCCAACACGATGTGCTGAGACAATTTCTGAAATCATCATATTGGGGATGCAAACCTACATACCGAACACTGCAAGGAGAACATCTTCCGATAAGGCCTGGTTCAGTAGAAACTGCTCTAGAGCTGTCGCTTCCAAACAGGCAGCATTCCATCGATGGTTAAAAAATCCAGGCCCTGACACTAGAGCAGAAAATGTCGAGGCTAGAGGCATATGCGATGAGACAATTTGATCATCAACGGGTGCTTATAATGCCAGAATAAGATCAAAACTTGTTGAATGTCCTAACGGGTCCCGTTCATTTTGGTCCTTCGCCAAAGCTGTAGGAAGAAACTTCACTTCCAGCTCGTTTCCTCCCCCAACCAAGGAAGATGGGACACTAGCCACAACTGCTCAAGAGAAAGCCAACATTTTCGCTCATTTATTTGCTGGAAATTCCACTCTGGATTCATCGAGAAAACAACCGAGCTTGTGGCTCCGAAGGAATCCCACCGATTGTCCTCAAGAAATGTGCTCTCCAACTAACACCTGTTCTCTGCAAGTTGTTCAACTACCCTTACAAATTGGGGATATTCCCGTGCAACTGGAAAATTGAAAGGGTACAACCAGTTCCTAAAAAATGCGAAAAGACACTACCTAGCAACTAGAGACCGATTGCACTGCTATATATCATTTCTAAGATCACGGAGAGAGCTATCAACAACAAGCTCATGAAATACCTGAAACATTGAGGTATTATCAGCGATGGGCAATGACTTTCGTCATCAGAGATCAACTAGTGACCTGCTCGCTTACGTCTCACATATATGGCAGCGATCTATCGAAAAATATGGTGAAACTTTAGCCGTGGCACTTGATATCTCCAAGGCATTCGATCGAGTCTTGCACCACGGACTCCTCGCCAAGCTTCCATCTTATGGCTTGCCTCCCCAGCCATGTTCTCTGCAAGCTAGTTTCCTCTCAAATGGGTCTGTCCATGTAGTGATCGACGGAGTGTCATCTGACTCTCTTATCATAAATGCTGGTGTTCCGCAATTATCAATTCTAGCACCAACACTATTTCTTCTTCATATCAACGATTTATTGAAAGCAACTTCATGTTCAGTACACAGCTTAGCGGATGATAGTACCCTCCATACTGTCTTTTCTTCCAGAGCTCCAATACCAGCCAGGCAAATGAGAAACGAAGGAGAGAAAAATGTTAACAACATAAATATGGACTTGGCAACAATTCTCGAATGGGGATCCAATAACTTGGTAGATTCCAATGCAAACAAAACACAAACATGTCTTTTTTCTAGAAAAGCCGATCTCACTGTACCCAACATAAGCTTGTCAGGAGTAACTATACCTTTGAAGACATCCATTTCGATACTTGCTATTACTATCAGCAATAACCTTTCTTGGGAAAATCACGTGAGATCAATTGCCGAAAGTGCATCCAAAAAACTTGGTTTTCTGTTTCGGGCCAGGAGCTATTTCACTTTCAGTCAGTTGCTTATGATCTATAAGGCACAAATATGACCTGTCCTGGAATACTGTTTCTATATTCGGAGTGCAGCACCCAAACATCCCAATCACCCTGAAACTGTTGGATTCTGTCCAAAAAAGGGCAATTCGTCTCGTGGGTGATGCCTCGCTAACAAACTCACTCATTTCTCTGGAACACCGTAGAAAAGCTGGCGATCTGGCTCTTTTTTATAGATATTTTCATGGACGATGCTCTTCTGGAATATCAACAATAGTTCCGCCCTTGGCAGTACCCGCTGGATCAACTATTAACTCATCGAGTTGAGGCTTCGCACCCCTTCGTGGTCACTTTGGAGACCTGCAAAACATCTCTTATCAAAGACTCGTTCATCCAACGAACATCGAGGCTCTGGAACACATTGTCAAGGTCAACAACAACAACAATTTAGGTGTTCCCCAAGGCATATAACCTTCAGAAATTTCAGAAGAACGCCAATTCCTACTTCTTTTTCCTTGGTTCTCACGATGTTCTCTGAACATCACAGGATATCTATTTTCGTGGGAACTAGAACATAAAAAGAAACACCTTGTAAATCAGACACATTTTATAAGATGATTTGGGTTGAATCTTCATATTTTGAGCTCAGGATTATATACTTGATATATTTAGTAATGAAAGGCCCAGTATATTGAGGTTCCCTAGGAAAGTCGCTGAGGTAGGAGGCTATACGCCAGAGATATGGCAGCAATTTGAAAATCCTTTTAGACTGAAACTTTTCGTCATAAATCAACGTAGGGAATTCTAGTATATATTTTTAAAATTTTCCGAACTGGAAATTTAGAGGAGCCATAAATAATATATATAATTGTTGGAGTCTTGATTCATTGGAAAAACTTCATAATAGAGGCTGAATGCGGTTAGGGGTATGTCTCACTCTTCTGATGGACGTTGTCAGAAGTAATTGAAAAACCGATATTTCGAGGAGATGATGTTGGGAAGCAAGATATTTTCGTAGTTTGAGTTATTCTGATCAAAAGTTATCATGGGCCGAAATTTTTTATATGTATTTAGTTTTTTTCATACAGAGTGTATAGAAGTATGACTTTCGTTGAATGTCAAATGCTCTCAATTTTCTAGTACATGACACAAGTGTTGGATTCAAATTCAGTTTGTCATAATGAAGGATATGGAATGTAGTGAACTCAGTTTCGATCATCATTCGAAATATCCAACATGGCGGCTCTATGTGTCATTTCAATATGTGGTCAATCACGCCTAATCGATAATAGGGTAATGCGATGCCACAAGGGATAAATACATAGTGGGTCAACAAATGGAAGTCTTACCAACATACAATTGATTGCGATGATCCCAATTATTTTGGCGGAATAATAAATGTCAACAAATAGGCCCAAAAGTTTCAAAATGAGGGGTTCTATTCGTAAAAGGTCGGAAAAAAAGGTTTTTTTTTTCGACGGTAGAGATACGTTCCCTGATACCGATACCCGAGCATTTTTCAATTATCCTGATCTGCGGTCGATATTTTCTCATCAGGGTATACACCAACCATCCTATTACTCTGACTGCCATGTCAGTCATTTTTGACCGACAGCTTGATCTCGTGCTGGACCGATGCATTTTCATTGGTTCGAACGCATTTTTTATACCAAATCTCATTTTGATACACCTAATGGTCTAGAAGTTATGACTTGTCTAATAAATTCGTTGACACCCGGTAGAGGGTGTTTCAGATATAAGTGCACATACGATACCTGTAGATAGAGGACACTTTGGTGGTTCCAAATCACCTTCTAATGATGTGTTCACTGTCTTTTTTAACTGAGATACAGCACACGTTATCTTGATTTTGGCAAAATGTTTATGTGTTCACAACTTCTGAATCACTTTATATAATACTTTCATACTTGGTAGAAATATTCCACCCATGTTACAAAATGACACTTGTTGGAAATTCAAATCATAATCCAGGTCCGTCTTCAGGAAGAACTAAACATTCATAATATTCAAAAAACAACACCCTGTATATCAAATATTTATAGATCTGGTTCGATATATGAAAAGAGCGGAGAAAGCTGGATTAAATGACCTACTCTCTACCAGTGAGCATCCAATTTGACATACGTGTTACCAGTGGCCACAAATCAATTTATTTTAGTAATCATATCGATTTTGATCAAACATTCAATTTGGATATGAAAAAAATTGTCTCATATTGTAACTCCATATCTGTTGGATCAAAGTTGAACTACCAATGAGTTTCTACATTGATAGATATGTTTTATTTCTCTCCATTGAGCATGTGACAGAGAGAATATGTGTATTAATATCTATCAGTGAATAACAATACGGTTAATATATCATAAGTAAAATTCAATATGAAATGAATGATATAGGACTATAACAACATCAACACAATACAAATCAGCATGATTGAAAATTGACCTAATTTGATTATAAATCTGCATGACTTTGTGAAATGATTTATTCATCTCATATCAACTATATCAGTTATAAATCTTATCGCACGATAAAGTATAGTGTTTTTTGCGCGATTTGAAAATATTCTTTGATGTTCATAGGAATCACATTAAAAACTCTACTTGCTG